TTTATTTTTTTAAAAAAAAATTACAATTTAGATACAAGAAAATTTTTTATTTAAAAAAAAAAAAATTATTATTTTTTTTTTAATTTTTTTTTTTTTTAAATTTATTTTTCTACAATACTTAAAACATGCAAATACAATTTGCTTTTGATATATATATATATTTTTGTATTTAATGTGTTTTATTTCCAGCTCCCTCTCTACTTAAAATTGAGTCTTTCTCCATCTCAGATTTTTCGATTCGTATTTCCATTATTCATTAAAGAATTTTTGTGCTCAACGTTTTAAAATTTTGAATTAAGAGGAAATCTATTAATAGCATCAATTTAAATTTGCACCTTTTAAATTGAGAACCTCTAGCCTATTTTTGATCCTACGCAACGCAGTTATCCTTCCTTTTTATTAGGTATTAATACTATTAATACGTAATACGTAGTCCTTCTGTTGGCTGTGGCGTGAGGTCTTGACTTACTTTACAAATATTCACGAAGAAACGAAAGTGGCCATTCAATCACGCCACAAGGAGATAGGCAAAACTAATTAATGGGATGGCAGCAATAAAGTTAAAATTGTGTATTCAAATATTTGTGTTACTTATTGTGTGCGTATCTAAAGTTGAATCTGGTCCACGATATCCAGTAATATTAGGTAGGTCAACTAAACGATTATTTATCGTATTTGCCCCACAGTCCACAGCATAGAATATGAATGAAATAAACAAATTTAGAGTATAGTCATAGTTTAATAATAGTGTTATTATTAGAGATTAGGCCTATACTAGTATAATTAACCAAGACATTGTGATCATTGTCATTGTGGTAAATGTTAAGGACGACTGCCACGATTTTACGAATTTCACGAAGAATGTAGCCCTAAATCAATCCCTATGCCTAACCTGAACCCTAAATTAAAATAGATCCCTAAATCCTAATTCACTGCAACTATAATAAACACCCAAAAGACGCTGTGGCAGCCGTCCTTAACATTAGCCGTCATTGTTTATAGGGTCCAAATATATCCCCTTAAAAATAATACTCATATTTATTTAATTTATCGACCACTAATAAGACCACCCTGCCTTGCCCAAGTTGGCCAACAGTAGGCCTAATTATTATTACTAAGACTAGCTATAATTTATTAGGCCTAATTAGTCTTAATATTACTGATACTAATACACTACTAATAGGCATATAATGGCATACAGTGTTATAAAGTAATAAAGTAAAAATTTTAATAGTAACATTAATAAGTTAATAAATAAGCCATAAGCAAATTCTGTTCACAGTCACAGGCTAATAATTTATTAGATACATTATTTATTATTTGAATTAATGAATGATTTTGGTAGTTATTGACATTGATAGCTGTTAAAATTTTCGTCAAATCTCTTTTTGAATGCATTATATTATATAGTAAAACAAAATAATGCGTTCATAAAGAGATTTGAAGCAAAATTTTAACGTAAAAACTGAAAAAAAGATTAGATCAAATTTCCGTTCGATCATATTACCGTCGATCAATTTACCGTAGATGAAATTTCTTTCGATCAAATTTCCGGATACGCTTCTCATCCAAAATAAAATAGAAGTCGACCTATACTATAACAGGCTATGAATGGTCAAAAGAAAATTGAGTGGCTTCAATGACAATTGATGGTGTATGACTATAAATTATAATTTAATGATGAATGCTTGCGATAATTTATATTTTCTAGCCCTTTATATTATGATATATATATATCAGAGCCTATATTATATAATAAATCAATTGTGTACATTGAAACCAACTGACTTCTGTATCATAGCCTTCACAAGCCTAAGCCGAAGGTACTATGGACATTATACGTCACAATTTGTTTTTGACTTAAACAAGTAATCATAAGTATAAGACTGCCTAAAGATAACAATGCAATGATAGCATTTTTGGTTCAGTCATTAGATTACTTTGCTCAGCATTAGAGTATTTCACTTCTAAATACCAGGTATTCAAAGCAAACCAAGTGCCAACAATAAAATGCTTAGCTTTACTTAAATAAACATGTTTTTAGACCTAGGGCCCAGAATTTAAAAAAAAAATTTTTTTGTTCTTGCTTAAACTTAAAGTAAAATAAGATATTCAAATGTCTAACATATCCTGTGTCTGATATAATGTCAGTTACTAAACTCTAATCTGAGCATTGCCTATATTGATCTGTGAAACATAGATCAAAGACATTTCTAATATTTAATATAATAATATAGACTAATATAGATATATGAAACAGGCATCAGTGGGTAAAAAGAAACCACTTTTTAAGCTTTCTTTGAGGGAAAATGAAGGCTCATTTGCTCCATCCCCATCTCAGCTATTTCATGATGCCAGTGAGTAGGTTTTGCATGGTGCTTTCTTTGCAAGCACATCATGTGAGGACTAATCTAAAGTATTAATTACTGCATTAATTGCACACTTTCAAAAACAAAATCTAGGTTACCGGTGATTCTCTTTACTTTCCAGTACCAGGAGATGGTGGTTCACAACTGGTTGCCAGATTAAATAAAACAGATACTCGCTCCTTTTTATGTCGCAAATCCACTTCTGACTATGAATCAATTTGGATCAACCTTGAAGAGTTAATCCCAGGAGTTCTAAGTTGTTTTGTGGACAACATGAGGTTGGTTTAAAGATTTTAAACTATTTTTTAGATAAACTGATATTTATTGTAAATAATGCTTAGTACTCCAAGTGCAATTCCCAAATTTAATAAGTAGAGTAGTTAAAAAGAAGATATTTCTTAAATACCATCATGTAGTTGCAAACACTGCACTGATTTACTTCTCCAGTCTATAAGTAGGACATTGCAAATTGCAAGCACATCACACAAGGAACTAAAATGTTGATTACAGAAATATTATTTGTGACATAAGTAATGAATGCTATAGAAGTTTCAGCCAATAATTTAATTTCTCCACTCTGTCTTTTATATTGTGGTTTGGTAACTAAGTATCCACTTTGAAAATGCTATTCCATTAGAATTTCCAAATGTTAATTAATCAGAGTTCATGATTTTAGCCTTCAGTTAAATTAAGTGGCGAGGGTAGTAGTTTTACCCTCATATTTGAGAAACAGTTACCTAAGCAGATGACCTTCTTGTAACCTAAGTATGGTAGCTCTTAAGAATCTTCAAGACAAGAGATCATTTGTCAAACAAAATAATGAATATCATAGCTTGATTTGTTCGGCCTATATACTTTTGATGCAGATAATTTTTCATGGCAGTAGTGATTGAAACCAAATTTTCACAGGCTCATCTATGATCCGGTAACAAGGAAGACATCAAACTCACCTGGTGTAGATATCCGCACCATAGGTTTTGGTGGCACTGACTCTGTTGAATGGTTGGATCCGAGTCCAACATCACATCTCATACCCTTTAGTAAGAAATATTGATAATTTATTTTCAACGTGGTGATTTAACCTTTTGTCACCACTGATTCGGCTTTTATGTAGTAATTTGAATACTTGACTGTTGACTGTGGCATTGGTGTACTTTTTTCATTGCAACCAAGTGAACATTTTTGTTTCAACTCTTTTCAAATTTAGAATGTTCTCTGAAGCCATGCTTATTAAAAATGTTCTTTCTTTTCCAATAATTAACCTAGTGCCACAAATAGGCAAGGTAAATATTTCGGTGTTGCTAAATCTTACATTCTCTTTTTTTTTTTTTATTTAAAAAAAAATTTGACACATTATTCATTACAACTCTTTATTCAGTGGTATCTTTAAATTGAATTCAAACAATATCAGCCTTGAATTTTATTTTTAAATAACACCACATTTAGTACCTGGCACTGGAAATTTTCATTTAGAAATTCCTAACAGATATTTTTTTTATCGATATAAACATTGATGGACACAATGTAATTGGCCAGCTTGTAGAGCCCACAGCCCTGTTGTTATGTCAGCTTTTTTAAGACTAACTAACACATCTATGGTTTATATAAGATTTTACCAGAGGCTTTCAATAAGAAATATTAAATATCACAATGTTTTTTCCACTTTAAGATACACCTTGTCATGATATCTAAATATTGATTTTTTTTTTTTTTTAAATGTTTTGGCCGTACCGCTAACAAGAGCTTGAACAATCTTCTTTGTCACAATCATTTTAAATAAACTTAGTTAATTGTAGAAATTTTTTTCAGTTGATTTCACTGAAAACTAAGTAACAAATTTTTTTCTATATGGTCAAATATTTAAAAAATTGTTTAGGTAATTTTTCATAGATTTGTTTATATATTTTGATAATTTTTTTCATTTCAGTGTCTTACTTTTATCATATTGTAAAAGACCTAGTTGCCATTGGTTACACCAGAGGAGTATCTGTGAGGGGAGCACCATTTGATTTTAGGAAAGCACCAAGTTAGTAGTATTTTGTTTTTTGTTATCTTGATGGCTGTCTTAGTTCGGAGATAAAAACTTCTTGAACTAACACAAAGAATGAAAAAGTAAAGTCACTCTATTAAAACAGCTACAGATTGCAACACAATTTATAAAGGAGTGGGTTTGGACGATTAATTAGGAGGAAATCTTTCAATGGAGAGACTATTCAGCAATTTTCAGAAAAACAAAATTTTGCATTGTTCTGTTTTTCTATTGATTTTAATTCTATTTATTTTTCCTGTAGCTGTTTCCTAAAGATAAACCGTCATGTTTTTTTTTTTTTTTTTTTTTTTTTTTTTTTTTTTTTTTTTTTTTTTTTTTGTTTGTGTTTGTGACCGCTAACTCATGCCTTGATGGACAAGTTGGTAAAGATATCTTCTAAACTGTAAAGAACATATAAAACTTAAGTCATAACTCCACATGGCACTTCCAGTGCTGATTTGTAGCATTCTTCTAGCTATGTGGCCTTGGTAGATGATTCAACCAATATTCAACAGATTTATATTACATTTCATGTGATTAAAGTTAGACTAGAAACCAGGCCAGTGTCAAAATGAAGCCCACCTCAAATTTTGGTTCAGATGGGATCAAAATAGTGAATAGTGAAAAGTGGTTAATTTCAAGAAAATGTGTGTTCGTTTTTTCTTTGTTTTCTAATTCCAAGAAGTCATTTAGTCATTCCAAGAAGTCATTTAGTCATTCCAAGAAGTCATTTTGTCATTTGCTTTATTAAAGCTTCACCCTGTTTCTTATGACTTTTGTGTCTTTTAAACCCCCATCTGGTTCTAAATCTTCAATGTTTAAAATCAATTTGTTCCCCAGATGAAATGTCAGACTACTACACGGATGTGAAAAACTTAATTGAGGACACCTATTTGAAAAACAACAAGACCAAAGTAGTCATAGTGGCACACAGCATGGGCAACCCAGTGTTTCTGTATTTCCTCAACAACCAGCTCCAAGATTGGAAAGACCAGTACATTCACGCTTTCATCACATTGGCCGGAGTGTGGGGAGGAGCTATCAAGCCATTGCGACTAATGGCTTCAGGTTGAATTTTTTATTTTCTTCTCTATTTAGCTCTTTAGTTTTTGAGTTTCGTCTGTGCATTTTTCAATGAAGACGAATTTTTGAGGTGTAAGTAAAGTTTTATGATAGGGAGAAGGTCCTTAAAAGAAACGTATTTCTGAAACGCTAGGCAAGATTAAGATAAAATTAAACAAGGCTGTGATCGAGTCAGATCAAAGAAAAGGTAGAAAAGCAATGACGGGTGAAATATAATTATGGTAAATGATAGAAAAGAAACTTTCACCTGTAGAAAGGGGAGTGCATCAGGCATTACTCCGTGACTGACCCACTTATAATAGGGAACATTGTTTGAAAAGTTTTTCCGGCTCAAGTGAAACGTAGCTATAATTTCACATTTTTGCCCAGCAACCAATTGACTTGAAGTGTGTTGTTATTGAGGTGTTGAAACTTGGAGTAGATCAGCGGTTCTCAACCTGTGGGTCGCGACCACTTTGGGTGTCGAACGACCCTTACACAGGTGTCGCATAAGACCATCGGAAAACACATATCCATGAAGAAGCAACGAAAATAATTTTATGGTTGGGGGTTGCCACAATATGAAGAACTTTGTTGAAGAGTTGTGGCATTATGAATGTTGAGAACCACTGGACTAGAAAGTGTAGAAGCTAATTTTATTTAAGAAAACTTATATTAGTGTTAATTAATTTTTCTTTAACAAATTAAACACTGCAATAATAGAAGTCTCATTTTACTTTTACTTTGATCATCTGAATAACTTTGAATAAATTTTTCTTGGATCAGGGGACAGTTTAGGTGTTGTCCTTGTCAAACCAACTATTGTCAGAGAAGAGCAGCGCTCCATGCCAAGCACGGCCTTCCTCATGCCCAGTGACCAGTTCTGGAAACCTTCAGAAGTCCTTGTAGTAACGGACAAGAAAAACTATACGGTGGCGGATTATAAGGAATACTTCAATGATCTGAATTTCACAGATGGTTATGAGATGAGGCGGGATACAGAGAACCTTATTCGGGATCTGAAGCCACCAGATGTCACGGTCCACTGCCTTCATGGCTCTGGTGTTGACACACCTGATGTCCTACTCTTTGGCGAGGGTCAGTTTCCTGATACCTACCCTAGTGACATCCCCGGAGACGGTGACGGCACAGTCAACATTCGGAGCCTGCTGGGGTGTTTAAGGTGGCAAGGCCAACAGAAAGCCCCCGTTTATCACCAGCTGATACCGAAAGCTGAACACATGGCTATTCTACAGGATACAACTGTCAGCAAATATATTATAGATGTCGTGACTGGACAGAGATAATGAGAATTTGTATGATTCTATGAACCATTCAAGTTATACAAAACCAGGATAGTTAACGACAAGATTATCAAATTTACCATTTCACATTCGTTACAATCAGGGGTTTGCAATCAGAAAATGTAAAAAAAAAATTATTACAAAAAGTAACACTGTTTTGCAAAATATCTTTGAAATTTTTGTAACTTCGCATTGAGTGCAGTATTTCTTGATTCAAATAATTTGGCATGTTAACTTTTTAGTACTTAAATTATCATCACTTTTTAAAAAAAAAAAAAAAGGTTGGAAATAAAATAATAGGCTTATTACAGTGGTGAAGTTTGATTTGTAACTTCGCATTGAGTGCAGTATTTCTTGATTCAAATAATTTGGCATGTTAAATTTTTAGTACTTAAATTATCATCACTTTTTAAAAAAAAAAAAAAAGGTTGGAAATAAAATAATAGGCTTATTACAGTGGTGAAGTTTGGAAAGGTTTTCTTAAAATTGTTTTGTTGTGTCTCATTTGGCCGATAAAAGCTTGAACTTGAACGGGAGAGAGGAAAAAAAAATTGATATTAATAATTATAAATTTAAACTTATTTCCCATTGAATTACTTCTCATTGTCCGCCACCTTTGTGAAGTCACATGTCTTGTGAACTCACCATACTATAAAAATGATTGCAGCACAGTTTTGATTCATTTTGCTTTGTCAAAAGTTTAAATTTCAAAAACATTGAATTATTCTTTGAGACAGCAAAAGTTGGAGATGAGATTGCATCTTATTTGATAAGTTCTCTAATAAGTTCTCTATATTTCAGAGCGACATCTTTTTAAATTTCATTGTATGTTTTTTACAAAATTCACCTTTTTTTTTACTGAACTAAAAAATAACAATAATTTTTATGTCGGTATGGTGGATATTTTTAATTTTACAGTTAATGATCGGGAAAAAAATGTATTCTAAGATATTTTGTAAATATAGACAGACACGCAGCAAAAGTTTTTGTCCAGTTTGGGCTTGTAAATAATTAAAATGTGTTTCTCTTACTCCTCTATAAAATTGGTAGATTGCCTGAGAAAATTATACTTACTATATTTTATTGTTTAAAAAAAAATAAAGTTTAAGATCAATAAATTGAAATTTTAAAAAATGTATAACCTTTTGTGGCTTGCAAACACTTAATAATTAATGTTATTTATTTAAAAATACAATCCCCTTATTAAAATCATCTGAACATTAAGTTTATTAATATTATACACTGTTTCAGAAAATGTGAAACTAACAACTTTTTTTTATTATTTACGTGGTTTGGGGTGGGGGGGGGACATTTAGTAAGCTGCTTCTTTCTTTAAAATGATGTATAGCGAGTATGGCAAATCATTGACGCCATATTAAAAATAAATTATCTTTAAGTTTCTCAACATTAAGTTTATTAATATTATACACTGTTTCAGAAAATGTGAAACTAACAACTTTTTTTTATTATTTACGTGGTTTGGGGTGGGGGGGGGGACATTTAGTAAGCTGCTTCTTTCTTTAAAATGATGTATAGCGAGTATGGCAAATCATTGACGCCATATTAAAAATAAATTATCTTTAAGTTTCTCTCAAGCCCTTCCACTGACGACCAGGTGATGCGTTCATTGCAGGAAATAGAAGAACAAGGTTTGTGGGAGCTTGAAATAGAATGACAGGACAGTAAAAGAAGAATGTTTCGTCTAAGAGCCTTCGTCAGCAGACAGGACAAATGAAGAAGTAATATTTGTTATTTCTTCATTTGTCCTGTCTGCTGACGAAGGCTCTTAGACGAAACAGTCTTCTTCTATTGTTTCTGTCTTTCTATTTCAAGCTTTCACATACCTTGTTCTTCTATTTCCTTCATACAGCTTGAAAGCACTCCTTCGTTTATTAGCATTAATTGCAGCAGCAATCAAGAAAAGGTATTTAAAAAAGTTGTAAATAAGGCCTAACCATTCATCTAGATAATGATATTACATGTCATAAAAAGCACAAGCAGGGATTGAGCCATCCAACTAGCATCGTACTGTGCCTAGTTAATTATTGCATTTGTCTCCAGATGGCAGCTCATGCTGCATGATGCTTTATTTATTGAAATGGAACTTTTAATTTTCATTCATTATGATTGGAACAAATTATTCAAACAGGTAATTATCTTGTAATTTTGTTTCAAACATTCAGAATCACTGTTTTTTTTGTTTTTATTTCTTGATGGAATTTTCACTCACTGTAACACTGTCAAGTAAATTCATCTTTTGAGACTTTGTTGAGAAAACAACAACTTTACCACATGTTTGTGGCAGATGTGATTGTTCATGAAATTAATTCTCATCATTTTATTTACAAATATATTAAATATTTAACACAATACATATTTAATTTAGGAATGGTCTTTTGACCTGGGAAGAAAAAATGTAAGAGAAAAGAAAAATATTAATCACATAAATTCACATATAGGAAATGAATTAATTATATGGAGAAGGTAAAAATCATTTCCTTTTATTTGGAAGTTTTTTAAAAAATCTAAAATCATCCATAAATGTTTTTCTTTATTGTTTTCTTTTAATTTGAACACATACCAATAGGGCTGAAATATGAATTTACTTAACTTTTAATGATTTCAGGTTGCGTATATATAAGGCTATTTTTGCGGGATAAATTATTCCTTATTCGTTGGAACGACATTTTTTACTAATGATAAAGCTGCCAGCATTTTCTCATTTAAAATGGACAAATAGTTTTATTGTTGGCATTATAAACGGCATTAAATAGTATCAGTTCGTCAAAGCGGGCAATCATCATTTGCATTTCCTTACTTCGAAATAGTTGAAAGATGAGAACATTTGATGGGGGTGACGAGAGGAACTTATGCCACTGTTGCAAACATCAGTGTGTTTTTTGGAATTTACTGTCATGCTGAGCTGTGTTCAAAAGTGCTCAGAGTTGCCTTAAAGTCAACTTATTTTCAGTATCATGTAATGGGGTTAAATGAGGTGGGGGGGGGGGGGGTTAATGTTTAAAAATAAGTATTTCTTTAATTTTAAAATATATTTGTAGTGTAATTTTTGTTATAGTGCGTGTTATTTTAAAGATTTTTATTAGATCTCTGTAAATTAAGGAAATGCAAGAAATTTAAAGTATCTTCTTTTTTTTTTTGGTTTGTATCAGTTCCATTAATGAAAAGACATTTTATTTTAAATTTTTACACATAAAGTTTTTGAAACAATTCTGACTAGCCTTTAACTTTAAATCACTATACTTCTTTGTCAGCCCATAAATAATTTTGTTAAACCTTTAAATATCAGTTAAACTTTAAACTATTGTAATATCTGGTCATATTCTGTCATTTTGAACATATGCACTTCATATTATGTGGTGGTTTGACTGTGGTTAAAATACACGCCCAAATGCCGAGGCTTCCTCTTAAGGAACTTGAAAGTGAACGTTTTCGATAGTGTTGTCCATATGGTACACCTGTTCGTTTGCTGCATTGAGTTTTGGCCGCCCACGATTAATCTCTGTACTTTTAAATAAACCAAAAATAAATTCTTGTTTCTTGTTAATAATACATTTTTGCTCTTAGCTTAAAATACAGACAGTACAAGTGTTCCACAGCAGAGTTTTGATTGCTTTTTTTTTTGTGTGTTGGGTGTAAAACCTTTTCTCCTGTGAGTTTTTTAAAATCTCTTAATTTGCTAATACATTCAAAAATAAAATTCTTCTCAAGTTTGAAATTAATTTTTATTTAAAGTCAAAGCTTAAAATTTGTAAAGGAGCACACACACAAAAGAAAAAAAAAATTTTTTTTTGTTACAACTTGATAAGTTAATAACAGGGGTTAGAATTTATTGCTTATCAACACAACATGCAAACAGAGAAGGAGAAAAAGTGGACATTCTTCAGATGTGATACCAGGGTATACAAATGATGCATTGTAACTTCTGAGAAAATAATGACATAAAATTGAAATCACATTTTAATAATTGTATGTCTGAACATCATTTTGAAAATAGTTTTATTTCATTGTTTAGTTTTGTTGAACCCCATGTCTTAGAAGTAATTTTTTTTCTTTGTCTCAATGTTGTGAAAGTATTATGTATTGTTACCCTTTCATCTCTGTTAGACATATTTAAATTTGATGAGTGGTTTTTTTTTATTCACTAAAATTCTGGTTCAGAAAGAAAATTAAATGGCATGTATGTAATGCACCGCACTGGGGTGGGGTTGATCCTGGTAATCATGTATTGCATATGCACTGAGGTGGGGTGGATCCTGTTGGGTGATTTTTGTTCATGGTCATATGTTGAGGTGAGGAGGAGGAGGGTTTTAATATGCTTATGCATGTAAGAACTCTTAACACACTGCTGTCATAATTCCAAAAGAAAATGTAAAAAAAAAAATATACAAAAAAAAAAATATATACATGTAGCTAATGAAGTTTTAATCGTGGATCCTGTTTTTTTTTTTTTTTTTTTTTTTATTTTGTTTTTTTTTTTTATTTTTTTTTTTTTTTTTAAAAAAAAATATACAAAAAAAAAAATATATACATGTAGCTAATGAAGTTTTAATCGTGGATCCTGTTTTTTTTTTTATTTCTTTGACATCAGTCTTGTTTTCTAATGTTTCTGTGATTTTTTTAAGTTAGTTAACAGTTCATAAAATTTAGAAATGACTTTCAGCTATTCAGTACAGTTAAACAGGTTGATCATAATGGGCGGACTCCTTTTAATGTCAACAATCTGTTTCTCTATTGTTCAGATTTAGATTTTTGAATATGCTACTGGTCTTCCAAGTAGCCCATGCTAATCAATAATCTAAACTCTTAACCTTGAACCACAGACTTCAATTATTATTTTTTCTTCCCCAAACTTCATGATTCAGCTCAAAAAAATTAGGAAATAACCTCTTGAATTTCAAGTGGATTCAATTAACAGCCAATCATTTCATTTCACTTATCTCATTCAACTATGTCTAAACACATCACTTCCATTTAAGTTGACTCATTAAAAGAGCTTTCAGTTCTGACATCAACAGCAGAATTACTGTGACATCTGACCTCCCCGTAAACCCCACACTGTGACTGTGACACAAATGACAGAGAAAAGATTAAATTCTGATATCTTAGCTGCTTGATTTTGCTACCAATAAAGCAGTGTTTTTATGATGCTAAAAAGTTTTATACACCTTTTACCACTAAAACTGCACCAAGTGTAGACTTTCCTAATTATTTTCCAGTCCTTTGATAGGGCAAATATTAGAGAGAAGAAGTCCAATCACTATTTTTTTTTTAAATTGTCCATGTTATCCTGGTAGGTTCATTAAAAAATCAATTTAAAACAATTGCACTTTTAATGACTTCTTAAAAATGATTTTCTGCATTGAATTATGGGTAGCTAAATAATTTGAAAACTAATCTCATTATCTTTTTTTAGTGATAAAAATTTTGGATAAATGGGTTAAGAAAATTTTAAATGTGTGTACCTGTAGTGGCAGGCAAATTGCTTTTCTCTGTATAAAATTGAGTTCAAAAGGATCATGCTCAAGTGCTAATTGTTGGTTGTTCTCCCGTCAGAAGCTAACAACCACTTCTGGAAAAAGTCAAATGAACTAGTAATATGTGTTCTTTGTGACCAATGCTGGAGAACTCCATGTTTAGTCAAAATGTTGGAATGTGTGCTTTGTTTTTTTTTAGAATAACATGTCATTTTTGGTTCCCGAGGGTTGTTGATTGGTGCAAGTCAGTTGGTGGACTCCACCTACTAGGGGGCGGTGGTTTATGATTGGTCCAAGTCAGTTAGTGGACACCACCTTGTGGGGTATGGTGATTGGTCCAAGTCATTTAATGGACACCCCCTTGTGGGGGAAGTCAATGAAAAAACAAAGGCTTCACAATGTTTCCCTAATAGTTCAGTACTTGGCTCTATTCACCAATGTTTCTAGTTAAAATAGACGGAAAAGACCTCCCAAACTTAACATTGCATCGCTTTGAATATTCTGTGCATAACTGGTTAAATCCTCAACTCATATTTTATGGGAGTGTGAGATAATGTTTAAGTGAAAATTATAATCCAAGTAATATTAAACTATAATCCAAGTCATTCAGTTATTCATTTATCAGTACTTTCTTTAAATATTGCTTAGTTTCCCCAACAGTGGTATATGACAAAAATTTTCTAATAACAATTTTTTCAGATAACTTTTCTTTGTTCTTCATACATATGGTAATATTTTCCCCATCCGACATGTTGTAACAGACTTAATTGCTTTTTTTTTTTTTTCTTTAATATTTTTTACTTTTAAATGTTTTAAGTTTAAGCTTATAATATTTAGCCTTTTACTGCATTTAAAACACCTTAAAAAATTTCATTAAGCTTTTCATCATGATTGGGAGTACAGAGTTGTGTTCCTACTTGTCTTAGTTATGATTGCTTTTTTTTTTTTTTCTTTAATATTTTTTACTTTTAAATGTTTTAAGTTTAAGCTTATAATATTTAGCCTTTTACTGCATTTAAAACACCTTAAAAAATGTCACTAAGCTTGTCATCATGATTGGGAGTACAGAGTTGGGCTACTACTTGTCTTAGTTATGTTAATTGAATGTTGCCTTTTAGGCATTTTACTCATGTTCCAAATAACATTTTTTGTGTACCCCTACATATGTCATTGAACATTGATGTATTCATATTTCAATATCTCTATTAATAATTTTTGTGTAAAATAACTTTTATGTAACTTAAAAAATTCATTATAACATGTTGGTTCCTTGATATTTAAATTCGGTGCCACATAATTCATAGATATATTTGGATAATAGTTGTAATATCTTATCTAAAGGACTGAATAATCTGATTTTCACTTCTCAATATAAATGAAATGGTTTAAATGGCATTTGGGGGTTAATTTTCTTAAACATTTTTCTAAAGTGAGATAATAGTTATAACTGTTATAATACCGGTACTCAGATCTGCAATAAAGTTTAATGAGATTGGACTGTGTTATCAATATTATATTTAAAATAAATTCTAGCACAGATTTTTTTATTTTTTTATTTTTTTTTTTGTGCAAATCTTTTTTTACTTATTGTGCACATTTTTTAGATGTGTTGATTTTTCATCCCGTATTGTTTTTTCATCTCTTGTTGGCCATAAATTTAAAATATCTTTATTTATTCTGTATGAAAAATACTGGTAAACCTAAAGTTTAATCTTTAAAAATGTCGCCCACTTGTAATTCACTTACAGTTGAGGACAAAAATGTTAAAAGGTAGGGTGGATTTACTAAGGTTTGAGGTTTAAGTCTAACGTACTGGTTCATTTAATTAATTTATTTAAAATCATTTTCAAAAAATATTCAAGTTCATGTTTTGATTTTTTTGGCTGAGATAAACTTTTTTTTCTCTTAAATGCGTTCTTTAGTTTGCTTTATTACAATATACTGAGATAGCTCTCCCGCATTATTATCACAAATTGCAATAATTAATGAATAAATTTGTCAATAAAAATTTGCAAAACAATACTGTTCGATGATTGGTTATTTTGTTTTACTGACTTTGAGTAATTCTATTATCTGACTTTCCCAAAGTAAAATTCTTACTCAGAAGTGAATTTTAAAATATTGAAAACTGCATGTGATTTAATTATTTTCTGGAAAAGATTTTTTTCAAATTAAAAATTTAAAACCTTTCTACATGATACCACAACTTACAAAATGTCACATCTCTCCACCCCTTAGTATGACATCACAAATCTATATTCTCATCACCTTTCCTCTTTCCAAAAAAATATAAATTTGAATATGAAGAATATTTCAAGCAACATACATAAAATAGTCATTGCAAGTGCTGCACTTCGATGTTATATGTGAAAAAACATAAGAAATTGAAAAAGGTGTAGGCAGTGTAGGAAAATTATGCTAAATTTCACTTCTAAATTTAATTAATTCTTCCTATGATAAAATATAAGGAGAAAAAGAAACAGTGTTAAATGATTTTAAAGCTTTTTTATTAATTTTTTTTTTAAAAGGTCTACTTATATTAATTGCGTATCCAGCGTCATGGTAGTTTTATTACGTCGAAATAGTAAACAGGCTTATACTATTTAGGCGTACGTTTGAATACCTTTTCTAATTATAGCCTGGGGAATTTATATTTAAAGATAATTTCAGTGGATTTCCAGGATCTAGAACGTATTATTAGATCTAATTATTGCGTCAATGAGACGATCTATGGAACTTTACTTTATTTGAATTTGCTGAAAATAGATTATAAATATATTTGTAAAATTAAATTCTTAAGGTACACTCGTCCATGTAACTTTTTAACATGTTTACATAGTGGCTAAATAATGTCGATTAGCCAGACAGCTGAGAATCCACACTTCATTCTTCTTGTTACGAAATTTGGCCGGAAGAAAGATTCATATACCCATAACAGTTACAATGCATTATCGAAGGAAAACATTGAAGTTTTACCTGGAACATTACTTTACATAGTTGAGGAAAATACAGAAAATGGAAGAGTTGAGTTTACGCTGGAGACGCAAGACTTGGAGAAACCTATTATTTTAAAGTGTGTTCCAGGGGAAGTAGAAAGCATTCCTCAAAATGTGGTAGAATTACTAAAACCAATCCCCACATGCAAAGACAGACTGGAGGTTTACAATGATAAGGAATGGTTAAAAGATGGAAAGCGTTTGAAACTCCAGGATAAAGTTTATGTAAAACTTAAAGTAGAACAAAGTGAACTTGAGGGCATCCTACGATATAAAGGATCAGAAATTCCTGAAACCAAAGGAATAATGTTTGGAGTTCAGTTAATGGTATGTGAGGGGATATTTTATGCTAAGTCTACAGATTGCTTAAATACTTATTTAGGCATATGCCTATATCAAAGTTAAAATTAAATTATAGAAACGTTTTATCATCTTTAATATTTCATACAGGTAATCATATTCTTAAACTAACAAGAGGCAATTATTAGGTAGAAATCATATAGGCTAAATATATGGCTTATATGGCATGGTGTAATCATAAATGTCTTAAAAATAGAATTGAACAATACCATTATAATTATAATGATAATCCCCAGAGATAATGTGCGCTTTTAAAAACATTTACATCACTAAGTAAAGCAACTTCTTGGTTTATTATAATTCTTATGTTTAATCAATTTATCTTCAATGAAAACAGACAATCTGAGTTTGCTTTACATTGGCCTCTGTTAATATGATATATATGATTACTTATCCAGCTTATTATTATTTTAATAGAGTAAACTTAAGGAAGATAATCACTTTTTATGATTTGAGAAAAGCATGCCACTTGAGTTTATCTAAAAATACTTGAATGCTGTGTCTTCAGGATAAAAAAGGTACTTGTGATGGCACAATTAAAAAAAAAAGACTGTTTAAAACAGAACAAGACTATGCTGTTTATGTTCCACTACATAAAATCAGAAGAAGAAGGGAAGACTGGCATAAAAGCACTCGTTTGAGAGCAGATGAAGATGGCGAAGGATTTTATCGTCACCAGGATAGTGTCAGATGCAACCTACAGCTTGGAGAGAGGGTTGTATGGCTGAGCGATGATGGACCTGAGAAAGGATCTGTGCGGTGGGTTGGTTGTCTACCAGGAGAACCAGGAGATAATATTACAGTTGGAGTAGAATTCGTAAGTTTTTTCATAGACATCTTATTTTCTTAATTAAAAATAGAATTTATGGCATGAAAAATTGACAGCCATCAGTTGAGAACTATTGCACTATATAGACAACTTGTAATCCACTTTTCTTTAAATTCATTTATTAAAATAAACTCTTCTGATGAGATTAAGCAAATAAATTGATTTGAATTTGACACATGAATCATAATACTTTTCTATTAATGTAAATAATGTATTTTAAATAATGTAATGTACAAGCTTTTAAAATATCCCAGTAGGATATGCATTTATATTTTTATTTAGTTAAATAATTAAAATTTAAATTGTTTTGCCTTGCAGGATAGACCAGTAGGTACTGGTACAGGCAAATATAAAGACCGCAGACTTTTTTATACAAAACCAGGCCATGCGTCACTAATACCACTGATAGGACTCATAAAAGAAATTGAATTTGAAGGAAACCCAATAGGTAATTCTTTTCACCTTTCCGCTTAGTTTTAATTGTCACTCAACTGAAGCTGTGGAGCTGAAATTCATCATCTCTTACTCTATTATATGACACAACCTTGGCCCATAAAACCAATTTATTTTTGGAAATGTATGACTACGACTCTATCACGCCTCTATCAAAGACTTTAAAAATAAAATTATTAAATGCTAGTTGAGAGCTGTATTCTTATTATGGAAAACTAATGAGTATCCTTATGAGATATTAATGTTTTTCCAATAAAATTAAAGAAGGAATTCAACAATAATTTTTGTTAGAATTAAGCCATCTAATACTTGTCAAAAGGATATAAAAAAAACTTTATCAGGACTTAATTTATTAGTTATGCAGCCAATTCATTTTACATTAAGGTTTTCTAATGGAGTTTAAGGTACAATATTAAAATAATATTGAAAAATCCACCCCAAATTAAAGTTATATTTTTTTTTAGAATGATTAATATGAGCAATATAATTCCAGAATAGATATGATAAGTTGATATACAGTTTAGGTTTTAAGTCTTTAATTTATTTAAGTTAAATTCTCCTAAAAACAAGTTACAAATGATATTTTTCAATTTGTTTCTCTTATTTTTAGGTCTTGAGCCATTGGATGTGACTCAAACGTCACCAGAGTTGATACGAAATCAGCAAATTTTGCTGGAAACGTTCAACAACTCTGGCTCAGCGAGGCATTATGATGCTGTGAATAGTAAATTGGGCCTTGGAAAAATTAGCACAGAACTTGGCCCTATGGTAGGTGTTTCTATTGTAACCAATTAGCTTAAGGACACAGGAAGCACTTTAAAGGTAAACATGGCCCATCATATATTGGTAAATTAAATTTTACAAAACTCTAATCCACTTTGAACATAACCTGCGCTAAGAATGAATTTTCTTCTTACTTTACAAGCAACAACATTATACACTGAATGTTTTTTTCTCTGCATTTCAAATATTAAAAAAATCTTTAAAATAGATATTTATATTTCCTCTATTATCTCCTGCCCCCAATACCCCAAAGCTTAATGTTCGATCAATTTGCTTTGCTAGGCAGATGTCACCAACTAGCCCATAACTTGTTTCCACGAATAGGTATTTATTCTAATTTTGACGTTATTAACAAAAGAAAGTGATTGCAGCTAATAGTCGGTTGTCAAAAATATAGTAACAGAATTTCTAGCTAAAGTATAGTAACTGCCTGTCCAAAAAAAAAAAAAAAAATTGACTCCTGGCAATAAAGTACAAAGTTTCCATCATAGCACAATTACCAATTGTCTCTCTCGCCCACAAAATGAGCACAGCCTTTATATCATCATTCACATGCGTGCAAACGTGGCCGAGTTAAATTCTTGATTAAAGATTTTAAGGATTTATTCTGTTTCAAGATTTGACTTTTTAGAAAAACAATATGTAACAAAGGACTTAAAACAGTTTACTAAGTAACCAAAGCTAGTGAAGTTAACAATACTCAATTTATTTACAGTACACTAACAATTCTTTTATCATAACTACAAAATAAAATGTATAGATATAGAAGTAAGATAAGATTCTTTTATTGATCCAAACAAATGGAAATTTTTTTGATTGCATTGTACATTTTAAGCACATAAATAGAACGATTTGAACACAAGATATCTACATTAAATTATTGCACTGGACACTAAACCTCCCCAACTTCCTTTTAGTGAAACTGAAACAAACACATCACAATAAGACAAGCTTCAGGTTTCACTTTCACTCTCAGCATTTGACAGTTTCTATTCTACCTTGCTATCCAGTAGTCAAAGACAGCTTGAGAGCTAAAGTGTGTTAATCTGGGTCATGAACATCCAGCTCTGGTAGATGTTACATGACATAATAGTTTACAAAGTGGCCATTGGCAGTTAGGAAGAGAAGGTTTTCAAACAATTTGTTTTTGATCCATATGATATATATAGTGTCTTGTCTCCTTTTGTGACTGCATTCATTCCTTGAAACTACCTTTCTGATACTAAGTGCCTTGACATAGAATGGGCTGATATCTTTGGTAGCTTTTTTTTTGCATGATTAATATGATATTTGCCACTTTGTGTCTGTGATAGATTTGCTGTCATCTTTTTTTAAGGGGGAATGAGCTAGAATAATACCATAATATTACTTTGTTATTAGGGCAGCAAACTTATGACACATTGTCTTCAATGGTTACCATCTTATTGTAACCAAAAATTAAAATATGATTCTTTGTTTTTAGTTTGTTTTACATAATTCTACTGTAATTATTTCATTCTTTGCTTTAGTTTGTTTTACATAATTCTACTGTAATTATTTCATTCTTTGCTTTGTTTGTTTTACATAATTCTACTGTAATTATTTCATTCTTTGCTTTTGTTTGTTTTACATAATTCTACATTAATTATTTCATTCTTTGCTTTAGTTTGTTTTACATAATTCTACTGTAATTATTTCATTCTTTGCTTTAGTTTGTTTTACATAATTCTACTGTAATTATTTCATTCTTTGCTTTGTTTGTTTTACATAATTCTACTGTAATTATTTCATTCTTTGCTTTTGTTTGTTTTACATAATTCTACTGTAATTATTTCATTCTTTGCTTTAGTTTGTTTTACATAATTCTACTGTAATTATTTCATTCTTTGCTTTAGTTTGTTTTACATAATTCTACTGTAATTATTTCATTCTTTGCTTTAGTTTGTTTTACATAATTCTACATTAATTATTTCAATATAAAATATAAGAGAATGTGTGTATTTATGATTTCATACCATTTCTTTTTAAAGCAGGTCACCTTGGGTGGGCCACCAAACTACAACCAGTCCTATGCGGAGACGGGACTTGTCAACAGTCAGGATATTCCTCTCTACAAACAGGACGTGGTCTTCAGACACCGTGGTACAGACTACAGCGGGCCCAACCCCATGTATGAGCACTCAAGAATGCTGCAAGGTTAGTAGGATGGGAGAGTATAGACAATGTAGAGATGGTAGACATTGTCGGTAACATAGACAGTGTAGAGAGCATAGACATAGTAGGTTATATAGACATGGTAAAGAGTATAGACAAATAGAGAGCATAAACAATGTGGAGAGCCTATACACCTTAGAGGATATATTAGAGGATATAGAGACTGTGGAGCAGAGGTTCTCAACCTATGGTCCACATGCTCAGGGGGTTCAGGAGCTGCTTTTCCTGTGTAATTTTCTTTTACTTTTTTGCTTTTGGGAACTATATTCTAAGAAGGGGACCATAAAAAGGTTAAGAACCCCTGCTGTAGAGGTTCATCATATCACCTTTTAAAAATTGCCTAAGATTGTAAACCATTTATTTTAACAATTTTGCTACTTGAGAAACATATATCTATTGAACCATAAAATCTATTGAACCATAAAAATCTATAGAACCAACTGTAAGAATATGATCTGGTTGTTTGCTCACAGTAGTATTGTTTGAGTTATTCTTTTCATTTAAAACTTCAATGAATGCACATTGTCTTTAACCCAGCCAACTGATAACATTAAGCCGTTAGTTATTCCCATATCTTCACATCAGTAGTGTTTTTTTCTTTTCCAGAGGCGTGTGTTGTTCAAAATTTAGATACAAAGTCTTCCAATTCCTCAAGCTTTGGGCGGAGCAGCAACCAGGAAGTGGATCCAGACCTGGGTGTTGGCTCCATGGTCCAGGTGCAATTAAAAGTACCCCTGTACGGGGTCATCCGTTGGATTGGCGAGGCTGACGACCAGTCGGGAAAGTTAATAGCCGGATTAGAAATGGTGAGAGTATTTGAATTGCTGATACTTGGCCACATATCTTTTTTTTAACTTTGATTGTGTCCCTCGTTTTAAATAAAACTGCTGTCATTGAGTCTTGATGCTGCAACTTGGTATTCTCACTCATCTGTTTGACTTGCTGCAACTTGGCAATCTCACTCATCTGTTTAACTTGTTTCAACTTGACAATCTCACTCATCTGTTTGACATGTTTCATCTTGGCAATCTCACTCATCTGTTTAACATGCTTCAACTTGGCAATCTCACTCATCTGTTTAACTTGTTTCAACTTGACATTGACATGTTTCAACTTGGCAATCTCACTCATCTGTTTGACATGTTTCAACTTGGCTATCTCACTCATCTGTTTAACTTGTTTCAACTTGACAATCTCACTCATCTGTTTGACATGTTTCATCTTGGCAATCTCACTCATCTGTTTAACATGCTTAAACTTGTCAATCTCACTCATATGTTTAATATGTTATTTTTCTGATATGTTATAACTTAAAATAACTTTTACCCATGGTAAAGATTGAGTATTCACAGTACTTCCACCCGCTGCTAAGATTGAGTACTTACTGTACTTCCACCCACTTCTTAAGATTGAGTATTCCCAGTACTTCCACCCGCTATCTAAGATTGAATATACACTGTACTTCCACCAACTACCTTCTTTTTTTCATCTTCATGTTTATTTTATTTTTTTGTCTTAACTTTTCAATGAGCGGCCCTGCATCACACTTTGTGTAGTTGGTATCATTCACTTTGTGTTCAACTGATGGGGCTTGTGCCTAATTGGCTTGTACTTGAATATCGTCTATTTTGTGTTCTCAAGCTTAACTATTTTTGGTACACATTTTTTGGTATTTAAACCTCTTAAAGCCTTACAATCACTCCTCACATCTACAGGAAGAAGAGTTATCGGCAGGGACTGATGGGACATTTTGTGGAACCAGGTGCTTCCACTGCGCACCCAAAAAAGCTCTTTTCATCCCCCTGTATAAATGCAGTAAAGACAAACGTTTCCTCACCAACACGCTCTGTAAAGTACCAACATCAGGTCAGTCCTCATGAAGGGAGGGTTTTATGGGGGGAGGGGGTGGGGGAGGGCAACCTTTAGGCATGCAGCTTAGGTTGGTGAACGTTTTTTGGTGTCTGTGATGTGAAATTAATCATGTACTATTTCTGACCCCTAGATTTCGGAGGGCCATCCACTCCCGATCTTCCCGGTGACGTCCCGCCCCCAGACATTTTAACAGACACAGACCTAAAACTCATCTGTGGCAAGAATAAAGGCATCCAAGGTCATCACAACTCTTGCTACCTGGACGCCACCCTTTTCTCCATGTTCTACTTCACCACAGTTTTTGACTTTATATTTAATCGACCGCCCAGCATGGGAGACCTGCCAGAGTACCCCCAGGTTCAGCAGGTTCTCAAAGAAGGAATCGTCAACCCTTTAAGAAAGTGAGTATTAAGAAATGTTACCAAGGGTGGTTGGCATAGTTTAAGTTGTGGGGGCAGCCATTACAATTTCAGCAGCTTCAACTTAAGAGAGGTGGCACAAAATGTCAGGGCATTCCGATTTGTCATATCACTTCAATTTTATTTCTTGTTACATTGATTTGTTTAACCCACAAACTGTGGTTGGACAAAAAACACGGTCCAATATTTAACCGGAATTATAGCCACTTCCTTTTATTAACCCTTACAGTACCAGGCACGTCTTTTTGCAGTGACCTACTTTTTCCCTGTGGCCCAAGCGCATCTTTTTTCACCAGCCGATCGTTTTCCCTGTGGCCCGATTTTCTTTTTTTTTTTCTGTAATAAATGACCTAAAATTACTAAAATTGCTTTCAGAGGCTTAATTGTAATGGAAACCTAAGCAAACTATACATTTTCTGAAAGATAAATGAATTGGCTACCACATTTATATTAGTATATTATGGTCTCTATAAAAATTCATGATGTTATGAGCACTTGAAAGCAAAACATTTGGTCGATATTTTTGGTTGATCACATTTTTTTTTACCGGTGGGCAATATGGCCAACTTTATCCCCATCCGTTTACCTTTCTAAAAATATATACTTATTGGGGTCTTGTATCAATACTTATGTGTCATTTAATGCTATTTCTAAAGGCAACCAAAAAGCTCTGAAAAGCTCCCACAAAACTCTGAAAAGCTCCCACACTACAGAACGATCTTTGCCACAGTTCGTGGGTTAATATTTTAATTTAAAAAACTAAAATATTAAATAAAAATGGCAGTTGGGACAAGTAAAGTCAATGTGGACGAGTAAAAATTAGGCTGAGTAAAGTTATTTTGTATAAATAAAGTCAATTCGGAAGAGTATAGTCAATTAAGACCTGTAAAGTCAATAAGAACAAGTCCTGTATTATGTTTGGGTTTTCGTGTTGGAGCTTGTTTTATTACCATCTGGATTGTGTACATCCGGGCACAGTAGAATGTGTACATCTTGGCTCAGTCGATTGTGTACATCTTGGCACAATGATGATTTTTTAAAAATGGATTGTCAGCTTAAGCTGTTGATTTTCTTGTCAGGAAATAGACATATTTTTAAACAATGTTTTCGTATGCATATACTGGTCTTCATATAAATTGCCAGTGTCCACAAAACAGTAACTGCCTTAATTGTCTTGCTAAAATACATCATTGCTGCATTACTCTAATTAACAGGCACCACTATGTGAGAGCTGACAAAGTTCTTAAGTTAAGGGACCTGTTGGACAAGTTAGGGACCATACCAGGGATGATGGGAGAAGAGAAAGGTAAGAAGTCTTTATGTTTGCTATGTGACTTATGCAAGAAGTCTCCATGGTTGCCGTGTGACTTATGCTTCATGATGACTTTGTAAGTTAAAATAGTTTTAAGGATGGTGATAAAGCGTGAAGGATATTCCAAAAAGAAAAAGAAAAATATAAAAAAACTAGTGACCATCAATGGAACAAAATAATTAATACATGAATAACTTTGAAAATATGAGCAGCAAAACTCATGAAAGCAAACTAGTTTGAGATCCATCTCAGTTTTAAAAATTAGTTCCACTCGTTTATTGTATTTGTAATTAACCTGGGACTTGGGCTAATCAGCAACTTAGGGCTAACGATTTTGTTCGTAAACTAAACACATTTTTTGAAAAATTTCTCTAAAATTGGGCAATTATTTTCCAGTCCGTAAAGAGTTGTTATATTTGTGCACTCAATGTGTCAAACCGCTAGCTTGGATCGATTTATTTAAGAGATCAAACTTGTAAGCTGATTTCTGCACAAGATTTAATTATAATCCCCCCCCTCCCCACAAACCACAGTAATTAATTACAGTAGGTATCTTCATGGCCAACTACATAATTACTTTAAAATAATTTAATCTAACATTCATCGCAAATCTGTAAACTGGCTAATTTTTTTTTGATTGATTGATTTTTTTTGTTCAGATCCTGAAGAATTTCTTAGTGCGCTGTTAACCCAAATAATGAAAGCTGATCCTCTTCTGCACTTGAGGTAAGTTTCTCCATGAAACTATGGACAAAAAATGAAACAACTCTAGTGTAGGAACTTGGAGAACATTTTTACCCTTGAATCGTCTATGACATTCTCACTTGTAAGAAACGCAGACTTGTTAGAGGTTAAATCATGTCACGTGAGCATGACAAAACCACTAAGCTCTGGTAGATTTTGTTGGGTCTCCAATGGCAACCGGTAGAGAAGTGGTTACTGCCTCGTGGACAAGACTAGATTAAGTAATGGTTTGGTGAATAGTAAAATAAAAATGTGTGGCTATAAATAAATCTGAGAGTCTTTTTAAAAAAATAAACCTATCATAATTTTTTTACCAATGAAATGTTTGGCAAAGGTGGCTTACTCAAATTGATTTATCCTCAACAAGTGCAAGTTTTGATTGCTTGATGTTTGTCAGTTCAAGTTTCAATAGCTTGATGTTTGTCTGTGCCAGTTTTAATAGCTTGATGTTTGTCTGTGCAAGTTTCAATGAATTGATCTTTATATTTGCAATTTTCAATAACTTGATGGTTGTCTTTGCAAGTTTCAATAGCTTGATGTTTGTCTGTGCAAGTTTAAATAACTTGATGTTTGTCTGAGCAAGGTTAAATAACTTGATGTATTAATTAATTAAGTTGATGCTTTTTCTGTGCAGTTCAGGGGAGCACACCTACTTCTATCAGTTATTTATGGAGAAAGATGAGAATCTTCTTCTACCAACTACACAAAAACTTGTGGAGCTTTCATTTCTACAGGGCAATGTCAAGTTAAAAGAGGTAAGAGCTCATCAGTGGGATCTGGCTTGCCATCCGACTGGAGGGGTCTAGAAAGATTTGGGGGGTTGGGGGGGGGGGTGTTGTATGACACTATAGAGATACTCTCCAAACTGACATTTTATAAATATTGTTTTTCAAAGTTTGAAAAAACGTCCTGTTTAACAGCGATGTGCCACTTTAATGATTCTGTACTAACGGAGCGTTTTTATTCCTTGAAATTAATCCTTGACATGTTACATTGGTGTGTACCGTGTAAAAAATTTATTATGATTTCTCTATTGTCTGAGCCACTGTGCAGCTCATATCCACTCATTAAACATAATCGTGCTCTGAATCCTTCCTGCCAGGTCCCCTCCTGCTTAATGATACAGATGCCCAGGTTCGGCAAGGACTTCAAAATGTTTCATCGTATAGTTCCAAGTCTTTCATTAGATATCACAGATATATTAGAGAATTGTAAGTTGATTTTTATTGCAGCGACATTTTATTTTAAAATTGTATGCCTAGATGGATGTTACAAAAATAATCAAATCAAAATTCCTCCTTTAAAAAAAAATATTGCTATAATGAGCAAAGTAGCTTTTGATTCTTCGCTATCTATATATATAATTCGCCAGTAAAGGTCAAACAAGACGGGTCAAAACCCGGCAGGCTATTTATAGATACGCCAGAGTGTGGTTCAATAATGAGTTCACTAGCGGGTAAAATATAATTCCCGATAACTACGCTAAATGATATATATTTTTTTTTTAATAACGCAATTGCATTAGGTGGGTAATATTTTCTTTTCGGAAACGAAATCGTCTCAATTTAAGTATTGCGTAAAAAACATTTGGTTTAAAAGTGGTTTGGACATGATAATATTAATATGGTTCATGGGCGTGAAATAAAAAGTGTGCAGTGACGTATCATGGGGGGAGGGGTGTAGCAAATATTGGGCTTCTTTTAAATGAGCGTTACTTGAGTTCGTGTTTTGTCAAGTAACTTTACTAGATGGGAAGTTCACGCATTGCTGTCGCCAATGTTTGGCGGGCTGTATCTAGTTATAAATATTTTTTCCCAATAAATTTTCAGAAGAAGCTAATTAGTATGTGTAACATTATATGTATAACTGCAAATTATTTTCACGTTGTATGCCTGGCCTACCTGGTACAGCTTGAAATTCACATGTTAAATAAAAATGTGTAAAGTGCAAAAAAAATCAAACCACCAGAAATGGATACGTAAGAAAAACACCTTTAAAGGGAAAAGAAACTATTTACTCTCATTTTTGAAAATTCAAACATTGTATATTAATTTATACGTGATGATTAACTGGGATCTTATTCAAGAGACGTTTTATCAACCAGGTCCTCGTGATTGTATTGTGTGTGGCGCCCTGGCAACTTTTGAATGCAAAGATTGTTACCAGGTGCACGGGCCCGGCCTAAACACAACAGCTTTTTGTGATAAATGTGTCAAGAAGGTGAGCTTTTATGGGTTTTTTTTTTTTTATTCTAAAAATTTCTGAGTGATCTGTAACTTAAAGTCCTCCTGGCCTTAAAGTCGGTTGGTCAACAAGCTTCAGGGAGTCAGCAAAATAAAATTGTTTGTTAATGAGATAGATGCCTATAGATGCAGATAGATGCCTATAGATGCAGATAGATGCAGATAGATGCAGATAGATGCAGATAGATGCAGATAGATGCAGATAGATGCAGATAGATGCAGATAGATGCAGATAGATGCAGATAGATGCCTGTTGGGTGAACCGTTTTTTTGTGGGTGTTCTTTTTGTTTAAAATAAATTCCTTGACATTCTAAATCACAGTATCACAACAGCACAAATTTATTTTTAAACTCTTACTTTTTCTTCTTGTGCTGTGATGTTAACAAGCATTCCTCCTCAAGCTAAAAGCTTACATTCATTGTTTGGATATCAGTAGCTGACTTGCCTGCCACATCAAAGATATGGTTACTGCCCCATGAACTGCCTTTTTGAAAGTTTTGTATGAATTCATTGAAAAATTATATTCCATCCTAACCTCTCTACATGCATTTCCTTAATTAATAGGCACTCAAAGTTATATTTAGCAATATTCAAATACCATTCGCTTGGGACTGTGCTCCCATTAAATCATATCAAATATAATACTATAATTAAATTGTAGCAAATATAATATCATTATAAAACCTTGTAATAAAAACTCATCAGATTATTTGCCAATTATAATCTAGCTAATATTTCTTATCTTTTTATCAAATACATATGTCATTAATTTCTAGTAGCTTTAAACCTGTGCTCCGCCGAGCCTTCGGGACTCTAAATGCACTTCTCAGGGCTCTAAATGCACTTCTCAGGGCTCTAAATGCACTTCTCTGGGCTCTAAATGCACTTCTCAGGGCTCCGCTGCCACACAAAAAATAACTCCAATAACTTGTATGACATATGTTAAGGCTTAAAGGGCTCCCTCACAGAAATGGATTCTAAAAAGGGCTCCGTGAATCAAAGAGGTTTGGAACCACTGATTTGTAGGCTTTGGTCATAAGATAATCCTCTTTATTTCAACACCAATCCACAGTCCCACCAACATATGAGCAGGCGGGCTCATAAACCAACACCCATCTCAACAGCGGAAGATTTTCTACCATATTATACATCGTTGAAAGAGGAAGCCATGAAAAATTGTCCCAGAACTGGTGACGACGATCCCCCCTACGTCCCTGTTGCCCTGCCCCGTGAGACCATGGAACTGTTTGCGGTCATCTGCATTCAGACCAGTCATTACGTCACTTTTGTCAAGTGCGGGTCGGGCAAGAAAGCCTCATGGGTCTTTTTTGATTCCATGGCCGACCGAATGGGTAAAAAAAAAAATAATAATGCCTTTTGTTTTTTTTATTTATTGCTTGACCCAAAGTTGATAAAGAATTGGACTGATGATAAATTTTTATTTCAAGTTAATAAATAGTTGTTTTTTTAAAAGTATGCAGATAGAAATTTATTTGGATCAATACTTAACTTATTTTTGTGTGTGTTTCAGGTGAGCAAGGTGGATACAATATCCCAGAAGTTACTCAAATCCCAGATCTTTCTACCTGGCTGGATGAAAAAAATCTGACAGAATTGCTGAAAGTGGGGGAGGATAAAAACTTTCCAGAGCACTTGCGAAGAATATTGTGTGATGGGTACATGTGCATGTACCAGAGCCCAGACGTCATGATGTACCAATGACACGTGCTGCGATGCCATCATGTAACAAAAAACATATGGCAACGGACACCTGCTTCTACTTGGTGCAGTACACGGCCCCCACAGCTGTACTCCTTTGGTGCACGAGTACATCTTACGTGCTGTGGTGGGCGGAAGGGGGAACTACTTAAAAATTTATTTTGTTGGTACCTTGTCAGACTTGAACACTGCCTTCAAATATAGGGCAATAAACTGTTGATCTTTTTTTCTAATCCCATCTCCCAATCATCCACACAAAAAAAGTCACCCGCCAACCCGACAAAACTGAGATTCACATGGAACAAAGTAAAATTCAGTCGAAGCCATGCTCCTTAATTGTGCCATTATAATAACAGGCAACACTGTGAATATTTCCTTGATCACAACTGATCAAAAGAAGAATAGAGATCCCATGAAAAGACTAGAGATCCCATGAAAAGAATAGAGATCCCATGAAAGGAATAGAGATCTCATGAAAAGAACAGAGATCCCTTGAAAACACCTGGCCCACATAAACAACAAGAAAAACCAATTTGGATGAATGAATGTCAGTGTTCCTTAACACATTAGTTTATTCTTTGGTGAGATGACACCCTAGATACCTACCCATTTAAAGAAATGAAGAAGGCCAGTGTAGGATTCTTGCCTTATCGCTCCTCCTCCCGAAGCAAATTGTTGAGAAAGTGGGGAAGATGGGGGGTTGGACACAGGAGAGAAGCAATGGCTTCTTACAGCAACCGGCTATTTTTAAAATAAAAGAAGTGCTTTGAGCTTGAGTTAATTTACTTGTTAGATTAAAAAGTCTGGCCAACACGTGAATCGGTGCCAAGTCATGGAGGAATGCAGTTGAAGATGCTCTATAAGTTACTGATGACATTTCGGCCTGTGAACATAGTAGTATTTAGTAGAAGATGTTCTATATACGCTACTGATAACATCTTGGCCTGTGAACATAGTAGAAGATGTTCTAAAAGTTACTGATGACAGACATCTCGCCCTGTGAACGTAGTAGAAGATGTTCTATAAGTTACTAATGACATCTCAGCCTGTGAACGTAGAAGAAGATGTTCTATAAGTTACTGATGACATCTCGGCCTGTGAATGTAGTAGAAGATGTTCTATATAAGCTACTGATAACATCTTGGCCTGTGAACATTGTAGAAGATGTTCTAAAAGTTACTGATGACATCTCGGACTGTGAATGTAGTAGAATATGTTCTATAAGTTACTGATGACATCTCGGCCTGTGAACATAGTAGAAGATGTTCTATAAGTTACTGATGACATCTCGGCCTGTGAACGTAGTAGAATATGTTCTATAAGTTACTGATGACATCTCGGCCTGTGAACGTAGTAGAAGATGTTCTATAAGTTACTGATGACATCTCGGCCTGTAAACGTAGTAGAAGATATTCTATAAGTTACTGATGACATCTCGGCCTGTGAACGTAGTAGAAGATGTTCTATAAGTTACTGATGACATCTCAGCCTGTGAACGCAGTGGAAGATGTCCTATAAGCTACTGATGACATCTCGGCCTGCGAATGCAGTGCTCATGCTATACATCAAATCATCTGTGTTTTTCTCACTGCCCCAATGTTTTTAATATTGTGTTTCTTGGAGATTTTTTATTCTTAACTTGCGTGTTTGTGTGTGTGTGTGTAACAAAACTGAAACTGCTGAATTCCCATTAGGCCTTCAAGTGTGTTTTAAGCCTTTTTTTGTGTGTTGTTGTTGCCCCATTGACCTGTCAAATGAGTTCTGGAAAAACTTCAATTTCAATGTTTCTTGTCTGTGTGATATATTGGAAGAAAAGCTTTGTAATCCTTGAATCTAATCAACTACCAGTGACTACCAGTTTACATTTAATGTTTTGATGATTGAATGAGTGGGTTCACCGTGATTGAATGAGTGGGTTCACCGTGATTAAGTGAGTTGGTTCACCATGATTGATTGAGTGGGTTCACTGTGATTGAGAGAGTGGGTTCACCGTGATTGAATGAGTAAGTTGACCTTGCTTGAGTGGATGGGTTCACCATGACTGAGCGAATGGGTTCACCTCTGTTTTTTTTTTTTTAATGCCTTGTGGATTGTTTAAGTGATGAGAGCTGGATAAACTGAGTAAATCATCCATCTCTTGAGGTTGACCTAGTTGAAACCTGTAAACCTGCCTGGTACTAATGACATGTTAGAGGGAAGCAGTACTACCTGTAGTGATGTATAGTAGTAATTAGTAGATGAAATTTATCATGAAATGCTCGTGCTGCCCCAATCTTATGTGCAGACACACTGTGTTAATTTCTGTTACCGTGAATCATGTCAACCTATTAGATGTTGTTTTAATACAAATAATTTATTTATTATGAATATTATCCAATAAAAACGTTGGTAAATTACACGCCCATGAGTCTTTATTATTTTTTGCCTTAGTTAGTAGACAAGGTGGCTTAAGCCGCTTAGGTGGGAAAGGTGGCTTAGATAGGAAAGGTGGCTTAGATGGGAAAGTTGGCTTAGATAGGAAAGGTGGCTTAGATGGGAAAGTTGGCTTAGATAGGAAATGTGTCCTTAGGTTTTAAAGGTGGCTTAGATAGGAAAGGTGGGGAAAGGTGGCTTAGATGGGAAAGTTGGCTTAGATAGGAAAGGTGGCTTAGGTGGGAAAGTTGGCTTAGATAGGAAATGTGTCCTTAGGTGTTAAAGGTGGCTTAGATAGGAAAGGTGGCTTAGATGGGAAAGTTGGCTTAGATAGGAAAGGTGTCAACTCCTACACGTCTTCTTGGATTGATTACATTCGTCAGTTCTTTCATACGTTGAAGAGTCGTACTATTCTCACTATCAATTAACAAACTCAACTCCTTTTCATAATAACTATAACTTTAATATCTAAGTAAATATAATAAACATCCTATCACTCCAAAGTTCCACTCAAGACTGCCGCACGACTAAAACATACGTCACAACACTGCATAGACAATACGTCACGACTCAGCATAAAAATACGTCATAAAGACAATGGCAGGAAGAGCGTTCACTAACTATAATAGTCAAGCGCGGGAAAAGCGTTCAACAACTAATGAACATAATATTGAGTCGCAACAATTACTAATGAACGCTCATACTCGACAAAAGGTGGGGAAAGTTGGCTAAGATAGGAAAGGTGGCTTAGGTGGGAAAGTTGGCTTAGATAGGAAAGGTGGGGAAAGTTGGCTGAGATAGGAAAGGTGGCTTAGATGGGAAAGTTGGCTTAGATAGGAAAGGTGGGGAAAGTTGGCTAAGATAGGAAAGGTGGCTTAGGTGGGAAAGTTGGCTTAGATAGGAAATGTGTCCTTAGGTGTTAAAGGTGGCTTAGATAGGAAAGGTGGCTTAGATAGGAAAGGTGGCTTAGATGGGAAAGTTGGCTTAGATAGGAAAGTTGGCTTAGATAGGAAAGGTGTCCTTAGGTGTTAAAGGTGGCTTAGATGGGAAAGTTGGCCTCAGGTGGGGAAAGGTGGCTTAGGTCAAAAAGGTGAAGATGATGGAGTGCTTTTATAGCGCATGTGTCCGTGCAATTTTAGCAAAGATTGAGGAAAACTGTTGCACAATTTAACTTCCAAAGGACGCATCCCGTTTGACTCCTTTCTGTTTCCATCTACACTGGGAACTCTCTGTAAGGACTGTGTTGAAGAGCACAGGTTCTGTATGGACACATTTTTAGAAATCAGCTTTTAAAGATATACAGGTGCAGAGCTTTCTATACAGCCATAGTTGGCTTAGGTGGGAAAGTTGGCGTTGGTAGGAAGTTGGCCTTAGGTGGGGAAAGGAAAGATGGCCTTAGGTGGGGAAAGGAAAGATGGCCTTAGGTGGGGAAAGGAAAGATGGCCTTAGGTGGGGAAAGAAAAGGTGGCCTTAGGTGGGGAAAGGAAAGATGGCCTTAGGTGGGGAAAGGAAAGGTGGCCTAGGTAGGAAAGGTGGCCTTGGGTGGGAAAGTTGGATTAGGTAAGAAATGTGGCCTCAGGTGGGGAAAGATGGTTTAGATAGGAAAGGTGGCCTTGTGTGGGAAAGTTGGTTTAGATAGAAAAGGTGGCCTTGGGTAACATGTTGCTATCCAATCTCACAATTAGGAGGAACCTACCCGAGCGCCAACATGCAGAATGTGGATTTTTTTTTTAATGGAGAAGAAAAAAAAGGTGGGGGGGGGGGTAAGACGACGCCTAGATTGTCACGGACCTACATATAATCATTGATTAGTTCCTACATATAATCATTGATTATTAACGTCATTTTCAAAAGACAAGAGATGCTCAGTTTTATCATGGACAAATTCTATGTTGTTAGGATAATCTATGCTTTTAGGCTAATAGACATAATCTGTGCTGGAAGGCATATTTCTATGATTTTAGGCTGCTAATGGACATAATCTATACTGTCAGGCTCCTATTTTTTAATTATTTTTTTGGTTTAATAGTTACATAAAAATGGTTGCCTCGCCCTCACCAGACATAGGTTACAGTAACTTATTATGGCACTTCTTTTCCAATCCGGCAAATCACGCTCTTAACCCAGCAACCAGCCCGCATTTAGCTCTCTTGACCCGCTAGCCTTCATCAGCATCATGACCTGACAACCCCCAAGGGCGTGCTGCACGCAGTCCACAAAACAAACGTAAATCATGGGTTATTGGCCATGGAGTTGTATTTAAATAAAAAAAAAAATTTTTTAAGAACACCAGGTCCGCCATTGTGAGAAATTCGTAAATGGTGGTATGTGTTTGTTTAACGTGTCAACGGTTATTTAGAAGAGTGACTCCCACAAAAAAACTTCTGGGGTGCTTGTATCCAGAAAATCAGAATGTTTGCACGTGGAGGAAGTTAAGATTTTTCTATACATGTTTAAATTTTTTTTTTTTTTAAATAGGATTTTCTAAAATTAATACCACATTTATATATTGATTTTAATGTGTGCATTTTATGGTTAAAAACAGGTAAATTATTTATTTTAAAACGACACAACATGGATTTTTTTTTTAATATTATTTTTTTTTTTTTTTTTTTTTTCGGTGTCCAGATTCGCACAAAGTTGTGTCGGCGTATGAACACATCATATCTAGCAGACATACAATGCCTGTCAGTCAGTCGAATGATAGGCTGTAATAACGGTGGAATGCAAAACAAAAGACTCAAAAAATCATGTTGACACACGTTAAACGAAGCTTTATTTATGGATAGAAACAAAACACTGAACGGGAAATGACGATAAAACTACTTACTGCAATTGAACAAACGAAACAACACATAAGAGCACCAAAAATTTATAACTAAATAAATCCTTTTATATGCATTTGTATTAATAATAATAATATTTTAATGGCACACCCGCTTTTACACCGCAGATTTATTTGACCAACTATTTCAGAAAAACAAAAGAAAATAATGCGCACCAAACGCAATTGCGATACTTGTTTTTTGTTGTTTTTTTTTTGGTCAACCAATCTCATTTAGCTCAGTTATCGGGAATTTTATTTTTTAAAATCAGTGGCATCACATTTCCTTTATCTTCCATTTGAAAAACAGGGAAACAAAATATTTTTTGAGGGGGTGGGCCTGAAAATTTGATAGCATATGTTGTCAACGGCAAAGAGTCTGTACGCAAAGTTTTAGCTCGATAGGTTGACGGGAAGTGGGTCAATTAGTCGAAGATTAAGCCAGCCAGCCACGAAGAAAAGCGAATTAATTTAATATGAAGGATTTAAACATTTAAAGAAAAAAAAACAGACTTTTATGGAGAAAGAAATGGGACAGGGGCCACCATTTACGGAACGCTGCCTCAGGCGCTCCCTAGCGGTTACTTATGAAGAAACGTCACGACCGCCCCATTGAAGGTTTTACCCCCACCCCTCCCTCCCCCAGCACGGGATGGTAAAGATGTGCTTGTGGTATTTAAAGAAGGATCACACGGAAGCCGTGCCGGAAGGTTTTATTGATGGAAGGGGTGACTTAAACGAGATGGTCTTACAATACATCTGACAGAATGAATGTGCAATTCTGATTTCGTTCGCTACATTTGCAAGTGTTACAGTTCGTTGTGCATATTACATAAATAATGCATGTGGATTAAGGGCCTGCGATCTTGCGTTTGGTTCACTCAGAGTACATTTTTGTTAGCCTCAGGTCATTGACAACTTCAGACCTGTTTACCCTTACGCTTTCGCCGTAGCGACTACGTTTTTAAGGCTTAGAATATGGCACTACGAGTCTTTTTTTTTTTTAAATGGTTTCGGGAGTTTTTTTTCGTATGTTTTGTTTAATTTTAATTTGTTTTTTTTGGTTTTTTTTAAAACTGGGGTGTATTCAATAATAAAATGTTACCGCATTTTTTGCGTTAACACCAAAGTAATCGACTTAGAATAACTGTGTTTGTTCTTTGCGGTCTCGACCTCAATAAACCAAACAGAATATTATCTTTTAGAGAATTGCGTTGTTAACAGTTAACTGCGAATGTGCTTGCCTAATAACTTTTCTCATCCTTAAGAAACAAATCTTGATTTTGATTGCAAACCAAACCCCTCCCCCCCTCCCCCACCCCCCATTTTTTCCCCACTTTTTCCCCACTTTTAATTGACCAATTTTGAGAGCTGAAAACCCGGTTAACCAAGGGGACACTAACCCAGGAGTAAAAAGGTCTGCAATTAAGCGTGAGTGTCAGGGTAGTATCAAGGCGCTGGGAAGGGCCAGTAAATGAACATACTACAACATTTAATTGGGCTTGTGAATATCAGGAGATGATGATTTACAAAGGTTTCTAAGGCTTGGAATCTGATCATATTGGGCCTCGTCCACCTAAAGCCACCTTGCCTATACCTAAGGCCACCTTGCCTATACCTAAGGCCACCTTGCCTACCTAAGGCCACCTTGCCTATACCTAAGGCCACCTTGCCTATACCTAAGGCCACCTTGCCTACCTAAGGCCACTTTGCCTATACCTAAGGCCACCTCGCCTACCTAAGCCACGAAGGCCACCATTCCTACCTAAGGCCACCTTGCCTATACCTAAGGCCACCTTGCCTATACCTAAGGCCACCTTGCCTACCTAAGGCCACTTTGCCTATACCTAAGGCCACCTTGCCTACCTAAGGCCACCTTGCCTATACCTAAGGCCACCTTGCCTACCTAAGGCCACCTTGCCTATACCTAAGGCCACCTTTCCCACTTAAGCAGCCTTGTACACCGAAGGCTACCTTGCCTATACCTAAGGCCACCTTTCCTACTTAAGCAGCCTTGTACACCGAAGGCTACCTTGCCTACCTAAGGCCATCTTTTCCACTTAAGCAGTCTTGTACACCAAAGGCCACCTTGCCTACATAACGCCACATTTTTCATCTAAGCCACTTTCCTCACCTAATACCGCCTTGTCCGCCTAAGCCACGTTGCCTACACAAGGCAAGCTTGCCTACTTAAGCCCCCATGTCCACCTAATGCACCTTTCCCACCTAAGGCCACCATGCCTACATAAGGCCACCTTACCTATCTAAGGCCCCATTGCCCTTTGAGTACTCAAGTAATATAGAGCATGGTTTGCCTATGAGTATCAGTGAGAATGACTGAGGATATGTGATTGCAGCTGAGGGTCATTACCATTAAAATATTTAGAAGTTTCTGCTCAAAAATAAAATATTAAAACGATTTTCTGTTCTGCTTTTTGTTCTTCTCCCAGCCCCCACCCCAATTTACCCCCCACCCCCCACCCCACCTTTTCCTGCACTTTTCAGTCTTCTTCCATACACAATTTGCTAAGTAAATCGCTAAAGACTAACTTTATCTATCTGAAGACTATCTGGATCCCCCCGGTAAAGACTATTGGCCCATTGCCCTCAATGGATGGTGGAGCGCGAGCCTCACTTCGAACGCTCATACAGGGATTTTTCAATTGCGTTGCAGTCAACTTGCAGTCGCATCTGGTGAACGAATGGGTCAGATGTTTACTCCAGCGCCTCGTTTCATCGTTCTCGGTCTCAACAACACTGCACGCTCCAACGAAAGATAATCACCTCAGCAGGCACGTTGATAAGCTTCAGAAACGCTATTGTATGGGTAAAAATATCTACCTTTTTAAAAGTTCGTTGAAAAGTTGTATTTACTGGGGTATAATGATTAAAGGACTGTCCTTAAATTCAAGCTTCCACATCCCTCGTATTGCTGTTTTATTTACTGGGGGGGNCAATTAAAAATTAATTTATTGATGCCCGTTTTACAACCAAAAAAAAAAAAAAATGACCAATTTAGTTGGACATATTATACTGATGCAATGTTGAAAGAGAAGGTTTCTTGTTGACCCGATATGGCAAAACTGCTCTGCTTCTGCAAATGTCGGCGCATCCTCTTTCTCTGGAGTCTCCTGCAGAGCACCGTCACGCACAGACGCGCCACGCGCCTCCAGCGGGACACCATCGTCTTGAACGCCTGCAGGAACTTGGTGTTGATGAACGTGTACAGCAGAAAGTTGATGGACAGGTTCACCCAGACCAGCATGTTGGTCACGTGCTGGAAGGCGATCGTGGCGTGGTCGAGGTCGTCCAGCCCGAAGATGGGCAGCATGATGGTCGGGTCGGAGAACGACGACGGGACGACCAGGACGAGGAACAGGAACACGATGGCGATGAACGTGACGGTCAGCCTCGTCTGCTCGCGGGTCCAGACGGTCTCCGTGTTCCTGTGGATGCCGAGCTTGGCGCGCCTCCGCTGCTGGGTCTGCACCTTGTAGATGAGGAAGGAGTTGAGGATGAAAAGAACCAGAAGCGGCACGAAGTTGAAAAACGTGGTGTAAAACCAAGCGACCGTGATGACCACTTTATCGTCGATGCTTAGGTTCTGCTGGATATTCGGGACGACCTCGGTCGTGTTCTCTTCTACGGAGCACAATACGACCGTGTACCAGAAAAATCTCGGTGAGTTGATGGCGCAGCTCACGAGGAACATGACGACGGTCTTAATGCGAGCCCTGCTAACGGTACAGCGGACGGGCGCCCAAAGCGGAAACTGGACGAAGAGGCACCTCTCCATCGTCATGGCGATCATAACCCACGCCCCAAACGTCGCCGCGATGTTCGACAAGGGATAGTAAACGTGGACCGTGTACAGGCTCCAGAAGTAGTTGACCGGACCGAGTTGATTGATGAAGATGAGCAGGAGCGCCAACAAGTCCGCGACCGTCAGGGCCGTGAGATAAACGTACGGGGACTCCTTGAGTTTGGGGCTCTGCAGCGTGAGCAGCGTGAGGATGTTGGTGACGATTCCAAAGATGAGCAAGGGCAGGCCGAAGTACTTCTCGACGAGGACAAGCGCGCTCACCAGGTGGGCGGAAGCCGTTCGGTTGAGGTTTCTCGTCACGTAGCCGCAGACGGTGATTGCCGAGGGGCTGATGACGCTGCTGTTGTCAAACGTGCCGTTGTCTAGCGCGGTGTGGTTGTCGTACCAGCTGTCGTCGAACGTGACGTTGCCGAGCCAGCTGCCGCCAAAAGTCCTGTCGTCTGACAAGCCGTTGTCGAGCCAGCTGTTGTTGAAAGGGCTGTTGTCCAACATACTGTTGTCGAACGTGCTGCTGTTGAAAAGGCTGTTGGCCAACGTGGTGCTGTCGAGGGCGATGTAGGAAACGTTCAAAATCTCGTTATTGTTGCCATGTGACATATCTATGGTGGGCACATTTCCTTAAAAATAGGTTCATCTTTCTCTCGATTCACATTATTACAAATGCTGTTGAAAACATAAATAAAAAAATCAAACAAAAGATCCTTAAGCGCTACCATCCAGTGGCCGCGCCATTTTTCAAACTCTTTGAACAGTTTGTCCGATTCCACGTTGATCACAAAGCTGGTATCTCACGATCTTCCAGTTGCCATCTTGGGAATATTTTCAGCATGTGGGTCTCGTGAGTACGAAATCGATGCCAGTTACATCGACAATTTTAATTGCGTCTTACAGTTACAGACTGTTGAGAGAAAATAGAAATAGTTATAAAATTTAGTTGGTTTTTTTTTTTTACATAACTTAAATTCCATTTTTTAAAAACACTTTCACTTTGCATGCCAGATATAGCTGTTTTTCATTTGTGTTGCAATATCATGATTTTAAATAAATTGAATGATTTTTGGCTGGAAATTATACTTTTCCCCACCCGAAAACAGCTTTAAATTGATGAACACTTTAAAATTTAAATTATGGGGTTGACCTCCAAACATAATCATATTTAATTGTATATACATTCCCCCAAAACTTTCCATGTTTAAGTTAAGACAGCCAAAGGGCTAAACCGATCCTAACAATGTGTGACTTTGTACCCCAGGTTGAGAAGCACTGATCAAGCGCTTTGTTTTTAAAGACTCTTCCGTAAATGTTGTAAGAAATTATAATCAAATAATAATAGAAATATACCAGCATCGATATTTTAATTTCTACTTTGTGAAACTGACTTAGACTAATATAGAAAAGATTTTTATGTAGTTTTTTTTTTTATTCGTAATCTTTGTGTTCATTTGTTAAGCCTAATGTTAACTATCTTAGTTTATATATAGATCGAGCGTTGTGTCTTCTTTGACTTTCTTTAAGTAAACAATTTTTTAAATTTAAAAAAATAAATATATATATATTTTTTATTTTTTTTTTGGAAGGGGGGGGGGGGGTGTTTTTTTTAATTTTTCTTATTTTAATTTATTTTTAGGTTTTGGGGTTAGTACTCGAAATTTTTTTTTTTTTTTTTTGTGGATGGGGGTTGTGTGTTTTTTTTTTATTTTTTTTTTTTTTTTTTTTTTTTTTTTTTTTGGGTTTTTTCTTGAAATTTTTTTTTTTTTTTTTTTTTTCGTTTTCTTATCGTTTGAAACCTGAAAAGTAGATGATATCAGGGCCATACGAAGGGGTTTGAAGCATTTGCCCTGAGCGCAAACATTAGGAGTGGGGTGCCCGATTCATCTGTTGATAGAAAAAAAAACAAACAAAAAAACGATAAAATCCCATGTACTAAACAAAAGGAGCCAGATCGTCTTTTTTGTACTGGTCCACCGTCATCAAAACTCAAAGCAGAGCTCACCTTCTGAAAATCTCGCACCGCCTGAGATGTCGTGGGATGTCGTGAGGTGTCGTGGGGTGGCCGATCTCTGCATAGGGGTCGTACATAAAGGAGGTCTGCAGAGAAAGTGTGTATGTGGGCGTCGGGGGGGGGGAGGCGTAGCTAAAAGCGGACATGGGTTGGGGAGGGGAGTACAAGATCTAGCGGATGCCTCCAAGCTTGTTTTGTTGTATTCCACTATGGCTGATCTATATGTTAAGCCCACTGAGTTTATTCCACTATGAATGATCTATATGAATATGCCTACTGGATGTAATTCCACTATGGCTGATCTATATGTTAGCCCCACTGGGTATAAGTTCACCATACCTGATCTATATGTTAGGCCCACTGGGTATAAGTTCACCATACCTGATCTATATGTTAAGCCCACTGAGTTTATTCCACTATGAATGATCTATATGAATATGCCTACTGGATGTAATTCCACTATGGCTGATCTATATGTTAGCCCCACTGGGTATAAGTTCACCACACCTGATCTATATGTTAAGCCCACTTGGTGTAAGTCCACTATCGCTGATCTATTCGAGAAAGTTTGATTACAATAAAAAAAAAACACGAAGAATTTAGCAAAAGTTTCTCTAAATATTTTCCTTCTAGTTACCGTCAAATGTAAACAACGTGAGTTTTATCTCTGGTTCATTTTAATCAAATGATTTCTAGTTTGGGCCATCCATAAACCACTTACGCAAAAAAATAAAATGAGACGCCCCTCGCCACCCTTTTGTGCACCCACCCCTTTATCGTTACCCCCTTCCCTTATGTGTACGTGCTTTCCTCCCTACCCCTCACCCCTTTGTCAAAAAATATTTAGCCTATAAACCATTTTGAAAAATAGAATTCGATAGAGTCAAAAAGAAGTCGAGTCCAAAAAAACATTCAACAAAATAATAAATGCAATTACCATCGAGTCCTTTTTCCGGTGTCTTGATCCAGTAGATAGCAGTAGAAAAGTTTTAAACTGAAGGCTGACTAAACAGACTCCTGTAGTTTATGAAATATTAATTAATTTCTCGTCTGCAACCAACAAACAACGATTGGGGTTACCTTCTCCTCTCAATGCTTATAATCCACTGACCCGGGCACTTTATGGACGGTGCAAAAAACAATGGACTGCGTGACGTATTCTGGCGTCCTCTGTCCAATCGCGTCGTCTGCGCCGAGCAGCAGCTGCTCAGTGCGTAGATTGGAGGGCTCAGTTGTAAGACATTCTTTGTTCATTTGCCATCTGTTGCGTGTTGGACAGGGGAGGCGCTCAGGGTAATTTTGTAAATGAGTTCAGGGACACGCCCAATGCTTTTTTAAAAATTCAATGAAAATTCATTGCAGAACTTTGTCAGAACCACGTATATGTATAGGACGAGGACCCTACAGAATTCAGTGTTTCTTTCAGTGACAATATCCTCTGGAGGCATTTCATATTTTCGGGTGGTCAGTGTCAGTGGCCAGAGGCATTGCAAAGGGGGACATAGTGTACCCGGGTGCTAGAATAGCGGCGGGGGGGGGAGGTGGGGACACCAAAATAGGCATACATGGAATTGAATGGATGGAAATAATGGGTTTCAGCGTTGAAAAAAGTGGGGGGGGGGGGGGGTAAAATGAATCTTGTCCCCTCACGTCTACTCCTCTGCCTTTGCCGTAAAAAAAAAAAAGGGGGGGGGGGGGGATGTAAAATGAATCTTGTCCCCTCACGTCTACTCCTCTGCCTTTGACGTAAAAAAAAAAATGGACGGATGGTGTGGTCCGTCAAGGTGTCGCTTTGTTCTTTTAATGGAGGGGCGAAATTTTAGGACAACTGTAGAGTCTACATCGTGAAAGTGAGCGCGGCAAAAATCTTCGCACGCCGAGATCGGCACTAACCCTATCTACGCCATTGGATCAGGGGGTCGGAAAATCGCTGCTCGAGACCTGAGTGCGGCCCGGCCACAAATCGGGTTGACTCCGAAAAACAATGTTCTTGGCAGGTTCTTGAAAAGAAATTTGGCTCTCAAAAAACTTAATTGCCATTCTGCTGATTTTTTGCTCTTTTTACTAATTGAGTTCCCGACTACTTCACTCGACAGAGTATCTATCGGCACCGAAATTGGTGACCAGGGTCAGGTATAACCTCATTTTTATAGGGACGTGGGGGAAGAAAAAGAGGGCGCCGATGGTTCTTGAGCGGCAGGGGCGTATTGGGAGCCGCTCTCGAGAAATTGTTTTGATATTTTCAAAATCAAGAGCTGCATTTTGGAGCATAACTGAAATCAGAGCTTCCATTTGACCATTTGATCTGGAGAAGACATTTTTAAAGCGTCATGGGTGGGCATTATGGCGCCCAGTGCCATAAAGAAACTCAATTCTGTTGTTATTGTTGGTTTTTTTTTTTTGCGCTCAAGGTAATCATTTGGCACACGATAGAACCCCGTACGGCCACACTGATCAGTGCGAGAGAAGGGGAGAGCAGAAATCGAGGGTGCCGAAGACTCTCGTGCAAACGCTGAGCAGGGCTACCGTAGATAATTACGGATTATAAAATATAGATTTAGGACTTTTCCCACATTGTTGGTAAACATTTTTTTTTTGGGCGCATTAATGTCATACACTGGTTCGGGCAGTAACTAAGTCCAACGAAATATCAAGGGTCCACAATTTCATCTCTACAACAACAACAAAGAGATTGAACGGGATGATTCCACGAAGTCCTTTGCTAACCACTGCACAGAATTCCTCACACCATGTTTTCCAATGCCCCCTTCTTCCAACTGACCAAATAGGTTAATGTCATTATCATAAACCAGTGGCGTGCCTAGGTTAAGTACCGCGCCGGGGGTAGGGGGTGGGCTGAGATTTTTAATTTTGTTTTACTGTATAGTATAGTGCGTTCAAAAAGAAATTTGACGAAAATTTTAACGTGTGAACTGGAGAAAAAAAAAATAGACCAAATTTCCGTTCGATCAAATTTCCGACGATCATTTTTTTTTCCGTCAACGAAATTTCTTTCGATCAAATTTCCGGTAACAAAAGAAAGAGAAAAAAAAACACGTAAAGAAATTAATATTTTGTATTTCTATGTTCATCCACAATCTAGAATTGAACCCTCGTTGGGTCTCATTCGCTGTAGACGAAGTCGTCTATATGAGATCTGTGATTTTTGCCATGGAGTGAGTACCCAACATCGTGTTTTTAAATGGGGCTGTTATATTTTGAGACTCGCCGCACTCCAGTTCTGAAGTCAAACACCCACCCACCCACCCCCTCCCCATTTAGACCAAAAACAACGCCTATCTTAGTTGGGATTCATCAGACCCAACTGACAGCAAACGTGATGAAATACTTAATACGTACTACGTGGTTAACAACAAACCAAGACAACAACAACAACAAAAATTGATTTTTATTTTTTTATTTTACTAGCTTGTTTACGATCATACATTTAAGACCTCATTACTGAAAAGCCAGCTGCGAACAATAAAAGCCGAGCCGTGATTTCAAAAGTATAGACAGATGATATGACTTCCTTAGATGCGTGTGCGACTTTAGCAGCAGCCTTGACTTGAGTAGTAACCTTGACTTGAATAGTACCCTTGACTTGAATAGTACCCTTGACTTGAATAGTACCCTTGACTTGAATAGAAGCCTTGACTTGAGTAGCAGCCTTGAATTTAGTAATAGCCTTGACTTGTGTAGAAGCTTTGACTTGAGTAGTAGCCTTGACCTGAGTAGTAGCCTTGACTTGAATTGAAGCCTTGACTTGAGTAGCAGCCTTGAATTTAGTAGTAGCCTTGACTTGAGTAGTAGCTTTGACCTGAGTAGTAGCCTTGACCTGAGTAGTAGCCTTGACCTGAATTGAAGCCTTGACTTGAGTAGCAGCCTTGAATTTAGTAGCAGCCTTGCCTTGAATAGTAGCCTTTACTTAAGTAGAAGCCTTGACTTGACTTGAGTAGCAGCTTTAGCTAGAGTAGTAGCCATGACTTGATTAGTAGCAGCCTTGACTTGAGTATTAGCCTTGACTTAAGTAGTAGCATCCTTGACTTGAGTAGCAGCATTGACTTGAGTAGCAGCCTTCATTTGGTGGCAGCCTTGACTTGAGTACCAGCCTTGACTTGAGTAGCAGCCTTGACTTAAATAGTAGACTTGACTTGAGTAATAGCCTTGACTTGAGTAGCAGCCTTGAATTGAGTAGTAGCTTTAATCTTGAGTAGTAGCCTTGACTTGAGTAGTAGCCTTGACTTGAGTAGTAGCCTTGACTTGAGTAGTAGCCTTGACTTGAATTGAGTATCAGCCTTAGTTAGAGTAGTAGCCTTGACTTGAGTAGTAGCAGCCTTGACTTGAGTAGCAGCCTTGACTTGTGTAGCAGCCTTTAATTTAATATAAGCCTTGACTTGAGTAGTAGCCTTGACTTGAATAGTAGCCTTGACTTGACTCGAGTATCAGCATTAGCCAGAGTAGTAGCCTTGACTTGAGTAGTAGCAGCCTTGACTTGAGTAGCAGCCTTGACTTGTGTAGCAGCCTAGACGTGACTAGTAGCCTTGACTTGAGTAGTATCAGCCTTGACTTGAGTAGCAACATTGACTTGAGCAGCAGCCTTCACTTGAGTAGTAGCCTTGACTTGAGTAGCAGCCATGACTTGAGTAGTAGCGATTATAAAAAGGGAAATGATGTATCAGCTATGGAAGAACACTGTTTTATACTTTTTAGTGCGTTTAAACAAGACTTTAAAAGAAAGTTTTTTTTTTTTTAAATACTTATTTTAGATTTAATTACAAAAATTGTTATATAAATTTGTTAATTCCATTAAATTTAATATAAGAGGAGTGTTAAATTTTACTTTTTCTTCGGCTAAATTTTAAGGGCACACGATCAATGTTTTTTATCAGTCTGGCTCCTATGTATGTGGAGAGGATTGGCAATGTTTTTGTGCCTGATATTATGAAGAGGATATTTCACTGGTTGCAAGGGCTACTCAGCGAGGTATTATTAAATGGGTGTTGGAAGGCCTGAGGCAATAGACCCAAAGTGTCAAGAGTTGTCTCAAATGTTCCTTTTGGAAGCTTGTTCCAGTACCTGATTTTCTTTGGAAGGAATGAACTGATCCTGTACTGTGTTTTTGCTGTTATGAGCCAGAACTGCCTGTCATGGACTCGTCGCTGTCCAGGTTGGGGGGGGGGGGCAGGGACGAGTTTCTGTATGATGCTGGAGCAGTGGACCAGCCCATTATTTATCTTGTACACATTCAGTTCCTGATTTTCTTTGGAAGGAATGAACTGGTCCTGTTCTGTGTTTTTGCTGTTATGGGCCAGAACTGCCTGTCATGGACTCGTCGCTGTCCAGGTTGGGGGGGGGGGCAGGGACGAGTTTCTGTATGATGCTGGAGCAGTGGACCAGCCCATTATTTATCTTGTACACCATAGATATTCTGGATAATTGTCGTTTCCTAATATTGTTTCCTAATTTCATAAGAGTGTTAACTTTTAATTCGTTTTCTTACATTATAAGATTGTTAACTTTTAATTGTTTCCTAACATCATAAGAGTGTTAACTTGTAATGGTTTTTTTTTTCATCTCTTCAAACCAGAGTGCCTTGGACGATTTAAATTCGAAATTGCAAACTTAAAGTGTCACAGTTGCACAGTTTCTTTCAATGACATACTTTTTAAGGCGCCACTGGCACAGTTTAGTTAGAAGCATCGTCTTGTCTTCGCTCTTTTCACTGCGCATGTCGCTTCCAATACCCCATGACAGGGGCTCTCAAAGTTCGTGCGACGATGCCCCCGGGGAACCGTGTAGCCTTCTTACAGTGCGAAATATTTCACACTTTTCATAGTTGTAATTCCAATTGTTTGTATTCATTGTGGTAAGACGCAACATCTAGGTGTCCTGCTGCAAACCAGGGCAGCAGTAACCCAGTAAGAACCATTGTCAGAAATCTCAAAAAAATAGTGATTAAATTGTTATTTAATTTATTATTATAATTTTTTTTAAACGATTCAATATTTCGCAGTATTCCCATGGTCAGGACTGGAGTTACTTCCTAGATTGGTAAACATGGCAGTCCAAGTGCTTTCCAGTAAAATTTTACAGTAAATGAAAAGCAAATAATAATAGATAATGAATTAGAAGGTGAATACCTACTTACTGAGCTATTTTTACGTGTCTGACGGGTAAATG